GAAAATGCCGCTTATCTATCGACATAGCGATCTTAATTGCCCCGTCGAGCGAACTACTGTATATACGAGAGTATTCTCTCTCCTACGAACGAGATACGGTTCTCGATTCCGATGGCTATATAACGTACCTTCTACAAAAGATTCGCTTCATCCGCCGACCACGATCCAGAGAAAATGAAGATGCACCGTGGCTTCGATGACTCCCCGCTGCTTTTTGCCAGGCGATGTTAAAGGTCTCACATATATTACTCCCTCGAAGCGTTACTTTAAACCGGTACGCGATTTTTACGGTGACTTACGGTCACTATGAGGAGAAAGCGGCAACGAACTGTGCGTGCAACTTTTTCTGCGTGATCAGAATTGCTGTATGTATCGACGTACTTGTCTAAACTCGGGCTCTCGTCACTGACACACTCGCGAGACGACGAATCTTATATGACTGTTTATATGACAACGGTGTACGATAGATAAACAGCCAATATGGCGTCGCCGTAGACGCTGCTGATTCGCCAATAGTCCAATATGGTGGTCGAACGAAGTACGAAAAACGGAATAACCGAATGTCTCTATTTGGCGTCAAACAAATCTAACCTCGACCGTAACCTTATCTGCAAAGGATCGTGTTCCACGAAACTCCTCGAGCATATTAATCAAATAATGAATCCAAACATTCTTATCGTTCACAGGAAAGCAAATGTCCTCTCTATATCCACCGGACAACAATCGCGTCTGCCTCCATTACTTTTCCGTCAAGGGCAAAAGAAGAACGGTCCACTGCGAGGGAACCTGTTATCGGCAATACTACTCGCTTTTACGAGACACGAAACTCGCATATACGTTTCGCTGTGTTTTTTATACTAACCTTGTAAAAAATCTTACGACGGATCGAGGACGGATGACGCATCAAGGATGGTGATAACCTCGTCGGTTGCTTCGACTCTATAAAACCGATCCCACTATGGCGAAAAACACCGGCTATAATGCATAGTGCTCTCGTACCAACTTTATCCTGCCATTGAATCTCACAGGAACGGGCAGTTTGGGGTTCGACGAAGCATCGACGCGTTGGGAAGGCAATTCGTCGACGTAAGAGTGCGCCTCGTTCGTAAACCTTTTCTCCCCACCTATGACGCGCGCGACGACGATCCGATCTATAGAAAGGTTAGCCCGTTTGCTCGAGTTACGAGCGTGCGTTAAACCGAACGAAGCTTCTCTTTTCCATAGGCGAACTTACGACGGTCAAGGCGTCATGTTATGGCCGGATAAAAGCTCGCGCGAAATAAAGCAACGACCTCTATGAGCGAAGATCGAAAGAGCGAGAGAGAGAGATAAAGTGGTGGATCGACGTTCGAGAGGTGATCGCATGTTTTAACGGCGAAACGTGGTCGTGGAAAGGAAGGTCGTCACTCTCGTTCGCCCGTTAATACGAATTTTAATCGCTCGTCGTAAAGAGATCGCGGACGCAACTATAACGCGTCCTGTATTGAGGGAGGATATTCACACTGTTCGAGCAATAAAGATGCTTTTATTAAATCTTGCCTGTTCCTGGTCGATGCTCCGTCTTATCTTCCTCCCCCGCTTTGTTCCTACACGCCGCACTAAAAACTCGATGGTTTACGACACACTCGTTCGTTCTGCCCCTTTATGGTGACCGTGACGACTGAAAGGACAGCACCGATGTGTCCAGCGTCCGGTGATATCGTTTCGGTTCGTATGAGGCGCACCGTCGGCGGATTTAGAAGCAAAGGGACGTTCCTTAATATCAAACTGGTTTGTTTAATGACCCTGCACTTCTTTTTGCCATACCGTTATGCCGCGCGGCACCGACGCGACGCGCCCGTAACAGTACCACGGGCATTGCGAAACGTTAAGGTGTCAGTGCTCGTCTCGCCACGGAAATGTATTTCACGTTGACGAGCAAACAGTCAAACTACTAAAAACTCGTCGTCTTACCGACTGCACGACATCTCGCGCTAATATGACAGTTATCGGCAGATCGCGTGCTCGCGGCAAGCTTATTAGGCGCGTGTTATGTTCTTTGTCCGTGGTAACCTCTAAAGAACGTCGACGTTCGAAACGCTCGATGTGTACATATATCCTCATTCCATCTTTCGCATTCATCACGATGTAAAAAAACACGTTGCACAAAGGAACATATCAAGACGATAGATGTCGATGAACTTTTAAACAATGCTAATAACATTCCATCGAGAAACACCTTTCAATAAAGAAACACACGACGCCAGCAGCATCCATGGCGCGACGGTGATCGACGCTAGTTTAAAGATGCTTATTCAGAAAACACGCGGCCGATAATGCGCATTAAGGGGGATTCGCTTTGAGAAATCGCCTGAAGGTGGTGTACGACCAGGCGAACGCCAAATTGGTCGCGGAGGGGTAGGGCAGGGTGGGGTGGGGGAGGATCGGGCAAGAAAAGCCAACGACTATTTGTCGGTTCAAGCAAGGCTAACAGGCGCGACTTAACGTGAGTTATTAAGCGTTTGCAGTTCACGCGTCGCGTGTTCGGCCCGCCTGAGCAAGATAAAGCGACAGGCGAAGAAGCGAGCGGTATATATACCGGAAGGTTGGTGTGGCCGCCAGCGGGGCCGATTAATCGCCCGAGGAACCAGTTTGTCGGAAATAAAATCTGCCGGTGTTGGAATCGTTCGCTTGACCATAGAACGTCAACGTGCACCGGCCTTCCCGTTTTAAAAGTGTGCCCTGTAGGGGCGCGTCGACACCACCGGCGCATTCTCTGCCGTAGCGTATCATCGCTATCATCGGGGCTTCCCCGATCGTGCATGCCTCTCGCGTGTCCGATATCGAAGGGGATTCTTCGTCTATAAGGCACTTTAGACCGACCAATTTTACGTTTAGCTGTTTATTAGAATGGCGCGCAGTGCAAGTGTCGCATTTTTGTCGCGCGAAAATATTGGTCACACGTTGTTCAATGACCACAACGGACTTTTTTAGAATAAAAGAAATATGACGTTTTAGTAACTAAAAAAAATCCAGCATTTCATATGCTTGATATAATTTAATACACTTTTCGCGACCCATAAACGGATCGTAGATAACAATTATCGACAGAGTAATTCAATTTCCATTAGAAAGGATATTTTCCTTGTTCGGGGAATGCAGAGGATAATTTTTATTGGATTAAGAATGGTTCCCAATTTTGTCACTAGAAGCGACACAGGATAATACCGATATTACCGATCGGTTAGACGCATGTCTGCTCGATACCATAAAACGCTACGGTTATACGTAAACAACTACCAGGCGATATCTACGAACAATAGGTGAAACGATCTGTAGAAAATTGTCCTTCGAAGCGAACGTTTCGTCATCGTCTCCTCCGTACGGTACGTGCCTTTCTATGTACGGAAACGTGATCGCGCGGCTTTACGTTCGCGAATATCTCATGTGCCTCGTCGATGGTGTATTTCGAACGGTGAAATAAACGCTTACGCCGCCGAACCCATATAGTCGCTACTGTAAAAATGCCACCATAACGTGGCAGCGTATCAAATCCGCGTTTTGATCGGTTACGCGGCACAGTAAGCATTCGTTCCTTCTACAACCACTCTTTTACAGGATCTTGCAAAATAGATCAATTTCTAAATGTCTGTACTATATATGGACCGTATCGTTAATCATACGAAACAGGACCTCTGTCGGAGACAGAAAAATACCTTTCATTACGGTAATACCGTTTCATAAGAGCAGTCACCGATAGTCATGGTAGAGCGGCGATAATTAATTGGCAATTGCACCGAATGAAATTACACGTAAAAGCGTACGGTGTACGCAGGAAATATTAGTCAAGTAAGTCAAAGCGTAACTCTGACGCAATTACTGATATAGTTTTCGTCTAAACGCAACATACATTGAGGTTATGGCGAACGGGCGTAATTAACTTTTCAGAAGTCCAGTGTCGCGGCGCAGCAGTCGCAAATTCGATGGCCTGTCAAAAATGGAGGCTTTTCGCGACCGATGATCTCATTGTGCATTTTATAGAGGAAAATTGGAAAAAAGTATAGAAATTATGTTGGAATAGATAGTCGAATTCCACACATGCAGATATTCCGATCTTACGAATGTAGATCGTGAGATTGTCGGGCGGCATGTGCGACCAGCCGCCTCGATCGCGCCCCGTCTACCACGAATTAATGTCTCATTCCTTTCGTATGGCGGATCGGTAGTTTATCCTTTGAAGTCAACTTTTGCTATCGATAAACTTGTTTCTCTACTTTTTTGATGTATACACTTTTAGATTATAAATTGATGAAAAATAGAATATAGCTAACCCTCAATTTACACGGTTAATTGGTCGCCTGTAAATCAAAATCGCTGCTAATTTTCTCGATTTTGCAAGATTGTTGATACTGTCGGAACGACGGTGAAAAAATTGTACGATAATATTTCATCATATTTTTCCCTGACTGCTTTGAAACTTGTACGGTATTTACGACTAATAAAGACGGTTAATATTGAAGTTAATTTTTCAGAATATTCTTTTACGTAATTCCCTTATATAATTGAATAATTAATCGTACAAATGATGTCTGTGCTCTTCTTTTGCACTGACAATGAATAGACGCGATGTTTTTCGAATGAATGGCACCGCGATATTATACCAACAAATTGAATGAGTAAGTTCGCTTACTTATCAAGTTAAAAAGCGATGTTATAGGTTCAGATATAGCATTGTATGACAAAAGATGTCGCGTTTTTCCGCGAAACATTCTCAGTGAGTAAAAAGACGTTCGACGTAACACGCCGGTGTTTAAAGAGAGGCGAAAGGGAAAAAAAACAGGCTTTTCAATAGTCACCGCGTACAGTCGTATTGCGACCCATTTAAATTATTCGCGACACAAGGCGTGCTCCCTTGGATGGAAACAATACGAGCCGCGGAGGGAAGATCCAGCCTCATGAAAGGCACGGACCGCGATCTTATCTGCACGGTGGACATAAACAATCGTGTTGTAGAAACTCACCACCAGTTGGCCTGCGCGCCGTTTTGCCACGCGACGAGCAGCAACGGTACGAGCAGGAAGGTCGTCACGACGGGCCGCATCTTCTTCGTTGCACAATTCGATGGTTCGCGCTCTGACTCTCGTAGATCGTTTGTTGCAACTCGATGGGAAAAAAAAGAAAAGACAGGGTTTTGTCCGTCGCTCCCGTTTTCAGCCACGCATTCTTACGAGTATAGATATCGATCGAGGTATTGCATCGACCAGTTGATCCCGAGGCCTGACAGATCGAGATCGAACGTTCCTCTCGATACGATCCGACCTCTGTGTCCGACGTACCCACTTCCAACGAGACGACGGCTTTCTCCTCTTTTTTTTTTCAACTTCCTTTCAACTGTGTTTCCTCTTACATGTTTTACGGCCCGGATAGATCACTGATCTTTCGTGACTGATGCGCGAAACCGTGGGCGAAAGAGACGCGAATATCTTTGTCCCGCGACGTGCACTCTTTTTGTTTTTTTTTTACCACACGACAACGTCGCGAACGGAAGCGCGCTTTTCAAAACGAAGCGACGTGCGCGAAAACGTTCAAACGATTTAGGGAAAACATGGAGTATGGAAGAATTGACAATTACACGCGGGAAAAACTGTAATACGTTCAAGTTGGCGATGCGTCGAATTCAAGAAACCCGTCTCTCGAAAAAGCAAAGACGGCGCGAACGAGATGACACTCCGTGAACGTTCGCGTACGTACTGTGGCCGGTAGTCACGAGGAAAAGGGCAACGGGGCTCTCTCGATGGGCGGAGCCTCCGGTCACTTGCAAGCACGTGATTGGCTATACCATGGAAGAGCCACCGAAGCTCCACTCGCGTTAATTAAGCATTTCGGCACTCCGTCCCGTCGCCGAGATTCGCGCGTACGATCGCTCGCTCGCGATTTGTTCGCCAACCGCGTCTGCTTCCGCGAGTTTCCTGAGAAATTCCTGGAAAAAGAACCGACCAGCATTTTCACGATAGAAAATTTAAATGTTTAGACCGCCAAGCGACCGTACTCCGCGATCTTGAAGACTAAATAGCAGGAAACTTCACTGCGAATCGGTCAATAAAGATCGATCCGTATTGTTGCGATTATCGAAGCAAACTTCATGTAGGACGATAGAAAACGCCAGTGAGAACGACTAGATATACCACCGTGTTGTTTTGTAATAGGATCACTTTCTCCGACGTGAGAGACACCTGTAAAACAACAAATTGAAATTGAAAACATTATTTACGTTGCGTGTATCTTATGTCATCAGCTTGTTCACGGTGACGCGAACTTCGCTTGAAAACAAATACTTCAGTCGTCGAGCAACCGTCCTTCCGAAAACATTGTACGCTTGAAGAAAGATCAGTTAAAATAACATTGTTACGTGTGTACCCTACGTATACTAAATACGTGATCTATTAACCTCCCTCTGTATATCACGTGTATTAATTTATTCGAATTGATTATTAGTCGGAATAATAATTTTTATTGGTATATTGGTGTTCTCATTTAAATGTCTTTTGTTGAAGTTCAGTTTTGTATAAGAAACGTGCTTGTTAATGTATCGGAAAAAATTATTGTATAATGGATACATTAATTCGATGCGCATTTTATTGCTATCGTTTGCAAAGTAAAACAGTCGATTAGACTTTTATATAGCATGTCGATTAATTACCTCGTATACGTCGAGTATTGAGTGGAATGAAGTGCGATGAAGTGAAAGAAGAGAGTGTATCGTAAAATTTTGCTCTGATTTCACGGTAGGCGTACTTGTTCAAACAGATCTGGAGTTTAAATTATTGGTAAAATTTATACAATTTCACTTTAAAAAAAGGTTCATTCTTTAAATAATGATCTGTATTTTATGGAATATAATTTGATTCATATCCTTGTAACAGATTTTTTGGCTGTGCATTTAATTTTATATTATAACTGTTTCAATTGCAACGTACGTATTTATCGTAGTCAAAATCAATTTTCTTTTTTTAATGGTTTGGTTTATTACTAATCTCCTGGAAAGATTGCTGAAGGAGAAAGTGTCTCCTCCTAGGTACACCTTAACGTTCAGGCAATTGCTCACGTATTCTTTAGTTACTCTGTCGATCACTATTAATTTTGAAAACAGACATACTATTTCCATAATGTTGAAAACATAAATATGTGATCAGAATAAATAGATGTAAAAATTACAAAATTTAAAAAAATTCTTCAACAATTTTGGCGGGATACCTACTGTCGGTTATCGACTGGTAAGTTGTTAGGTAAACATCGGTTGATAGAAAAGAATACAAATTCACTACGAGTACCATCAACTGGTATAGTTAATTATAAAAATTACTAGAATTACCAATATTTTATTGTATTCATGAAAACAGTACATTAATTCTTGCAACTCTCTAAATATAAAAAAATAGAATATGGGAAAGAGGAATATTAATATGTATTACTATTTTTAACAAAATGATTTTTATTTTGTGTGAAAACAAAAAACTGATTTTTCTTATGTATATGTAATAAGTAGACGGTACTACAGTCGTATAGTTTCCATGGTACAATCATGATATACAATATGCAGTACTAAATATTACATAAATATACAAGGCACATGTACCTGTAATTTCTGATTATATCACAAGTAGTATGTAATCAGCTTGACTTTTATTGCTTGAATGAATTGGTCAGAGACTTTAAATCGTAGGTAGCAATTAGACGAATCAATCATTAAGTGCTATTCTATTTACAAAATTAGAGATATAATTTTATTGGTATGAAAACAGACTGTATGGTCACACAGTTGTGAATTCTGCTTGGCGTTGTGACGGATTATGATATAGACCAGCCATAGATTCTTGTAAGGCCCTTAAGCATGCAACATGTGCCTTGAATCCTCCTGCCCTCTCTGACGAAGATTCGCAACGAACGTGAGTAACGTAACCACGAGACTGCAATTCTCGCCAGCCAGGTGGCATTGGACCTTCAGTTGTTTGACGAATAGGAGTGTAAGAGAACAGAGGCCCTTCTTCAATCTTTGGTATAGGCAAATAACTTTGACTTCCTTGGTTGCCAAATTTAATACCTGTACTAAACTGAGTGACTTTAGTAGGCACTGCTTTTGCTTCTTTCTTTGATGCTTGTATGGCAGAGGCAAATGTTTCCACAATGTTCTTTGCATTTCCTTCTGAAAATGTCAGCTCATCTATCAATGCTTCTTTCTCGCGAATCTTTTTCCTCTTAGCTTCCATTTCTTGTTTTACTAACTCTAATCTTTTTTCTTCCTCTTTCTGCTTTTCCAATTCTATCATCTCTTCCAGTTCATATTCGCTTCTACCAAGTTTAGATTTACTCTTTGTTATTTGTTCTTTGTTGTCCTTTTTGTATTGTTCTATTTTTTTATTTGTTTCTATTACATCAATATTGTTAACCAGATTGTATATTATGGTTTCAATTTCTTCCAAATAATCATTGAACTCCCTTAATGATCCAAAGTCCTCTTCCTTCTTGTTGAAGTCTCTCAGTATCCTTTTCCTTATGTTTACTTCTTTTTCTACCATAGGATCCTCAAATAATTGTACGCGAAAGTTTGCTCTTCTCAGAGGAATTTTACATTCAGGGCAAGATCCGGAACCTTCAGTATTGCATAATGAATATCAAGTCACTTGCTATTGCGTATAGTTTTCGACTAACCTAAAAATACTAACCTTTAAGAAACAACAAGTCAACGCAGCTTTCACACAAAGTGTGTCCGCAAACGTTCACCATCATTTTTAATGATGGATTTCGGTATTTGGTAGTTTTGCATCTTGGGCAAGCTTGATCATCCATATTTGCGAGGTATCAGAGACAAGTACTAAAGTTATAGGAACCAACGTTTTCTTTTGCAGACCGACTAACCGGTTAAAAGCGTGAAAAAATTTACATCACGATGTATGACATAATTCTAATGTAAATTCAACTCAACTAAACCATTTCGTACAGACAAACAACGAAAAAACGATATCATTCTTACATTTCGAAGATGCAGCAAAAAGTTTGTAAAATCACCGTTTCGTGACATAACCTACAATCAAAATATCACACTATCATGGTGCTGCTAGGTGTCTGAAACTCGAACGACAATCGATATCTCGAAATCGAACAGTATAATACGTACTATCGAACTCGATCGTATCGGTGATGTTTATAACCATGATATACGTATAATACTACTAAACGTTTGTAAAGCACAAACTGTAATATCCCTATAAATTATTCTACACACATAACCCTACTGCACGATTAAAACGTGAAATTACAATTGTCGAACAAATTTACAACGTAACAAGTGTAAAAAAAAACACGAATCTTGTTATACGCACAACTTACTTTTCCCTCTACATTTTACACAGAAACTTTTTCGCCAAGATAAAAAATTCTAATACAGTGAAAGAATTTATAGCTGCATTTCCGTTTTTTACCAGTTGCCTTTGAGCATGCAAAGCGTAAACGAATTAGAAGATAAATTTATCGGCGAAACTAGTACTGTGTGTTTTATCATCGACGAATGAATCCGTGCTTTTTCTATAGCATTCAATCATCGCGCGCCGTTACGTGATTACCGAGGCAAAAAAACGAGAGAGAAAAAGGGTCTAACGATTTAGGGCATCGATTTCTCTTTCAATTCCATCGTGTAAATTGTACATTAAAAAGCGGCAAGAAAGAGACGCGATGCATGTCCATTATACTCGAAAGAACAAAAGGGGTGGTATGCTTTGGTGCCTCTCGCAAGGCTCCCCCCTATTTCTTCTTCTTCCACCAACCAACTCTACGAACACCCATTATTCAACCCTCTTTTTCGTAAGACCGCCTCGACGGTTCGGTGAAAAATGCGCAACGACGTATTCTTAAGTAAACGAAGATATTCCAACGTCCGTACGACGCTAAACACGAGATTCCCGGGATTAGCCGAAATCTTGTTCCAAGGAGATTTTCCAAAGCGAGCACCCTATCCCAGTGTTTTCTCGTTCCGGGGAAATTCGCGTTCAGGATAACGCCGCGCCTTTGAACGTCGAATTTTCAACAAATTTAAGCGCATCGTTCGAGCGTAACCCGCCTAACGTCGCGCGTTATTGGAACAATTTAAATTCAAATCACGGGGAAAAGAATTTTAATTTAAATTCGAATTTAAACGTTCCATTTTAAATTTCAATTTCTATCTCTGCACACTCGCAATCACAGTGATTTCAATTCTTCTCGAGAATCTGTTCGTTAAACGTACTTCTCGGGCATCATAACGTGGCGAAGAGAGAGAGAGAGAGAGAGAGAGAGAGAGAGAGAGAGAGAGAGAGAGAGAGAGAGAGAAAGTGGGCGGGGGTGAAGAAAAAGGACTCGGATGGTCGCAAACACCACGTAAACGGTAAATATTTGACCGTTTTTAAAGCGCACATTACGCCAGGCATTACGTGACATTCGATAGCCCGTGTCCGAGCAATCCAATGGCCAAAAACACTCGAGGAAACAGCCCCGTTTTGTTTACTGTCTTTCATACGGGCCACGATCGAAGCGATAAGCTCGATCCAGCCCGTTTAACCGTGGAAAACGATGCAAAAGTGTGTTCTATCTCCCCCCTCACCCCTTCATGCCGCTTCTCACCCTCCTTCTCTTGCATGTACCAAGCTGCCTGAAATTTGTTACGGCGCATAAGGTGTGTCGGTGCGTGTGACACGTGTACGACAATGACAACGACGAAGAGGACGATCGGACCGGTATGGAATTCGATTCTTGACTAGGGATGCTG